GTAGTACTAAAGTATTGCACGGTAGTACTAAAGTATTGCACGGTAGTACTAAAGTATTGCACAGTAATGCTAAAGTATTGCACGGTAATGCTAAAGTATTGCTGGGTAAGGCAAAAAGTATTGCGGAATAATTCAGAAAGTTATGAGATATTGAATAACGTTTTATGAGATAATTCAAATATTTTTGCGAGAAAGTTCAAAAAGGTTTACAAGATAATTCAAAAAGTATGGCAAGATCATGCAAAAAGTTTTGCGAGATAATTCAAAAATCTGTGCAACACTTTTATAAAACATTTTGTGATATAATTTAAAAAGTTTTGCGACATAATTATAAAACATTTTGCGACATAATTCAAAAAGGTATTCGAGGTAGTGCGAGAGTTACCTCACAATACTTTTGCATTCCCACACAAAAGTTGTGCGTTAACTTACAGTACTTTAAAGTATTGTGAGGTAACCTAAAACTTTTGCAGAGGGACATMAGTTTGTGAAGATAAAAGAAAAAACTTTTATTGGGAGCTCTGTAGTTTCACCTGCTGCCGAAGGTTTTGTCCTTGTCTGTTTGTTGCATTTAGAGGTACAAACAGCTGACACTGTTAGAAGGTGACAATACACCTTCAATATTTCAATCTTATTTTATTAAAAAACACTGAACAACACTCGTGAAACAACACAAACTTGTTTTAACTGGACATGAGGTAGTGCTCACAGCACAGCCAAACGGGACAGTGGCTGATTTTCAGACCTTTGTGGAGGCAGATGAGAAGTTGATCTTTTTTGCCGATCTTATCCAAGTATCGGCCGATCTCTAATCTTCCAAAATTAATGAAATCGAAGCACGCCTAGTTGGATTATCAAAATATCTGATGGACTGCTGGAGTGAATTACAACTCTCATTGGATGAACATTTACTGATGAGCAACTCGGGTCAGCTCTGTTCAAGATGGCCGCCACAGTTAATCAACCTAAAGTGGCAACGTCTTGGAATTACGGCATAAAGTCGTGACTAATGACGGCTACAACTCTTCTCATTATGAGGTGGTCTCAAGGTTGTCTGTGATGAAAGGTGGTGGGTGATACATAAAAGGGTTGTTTTCCTCCCAGCAGGACGAGATGACAGACTGGACTTTCACCCACTCCATCCCAGTTTGGAAGAGATGGAACTCTGATTGTAGACGATCAGATCCCTGCAGCTCGAGTCTTGTGCAGATGTTGCGTTCGAGCGTCCACGTACTCCAGGGSCCATGTGGCTCTCTGCAGGCTTGAAGTGGTGGAACAGAATGTGGTTTGGCCACATTTGTACGTCTGCTTGAGCTCGAAGCGRAACGCGTTGCCCAACTTCCTGTTTTTACAACTCATTCTTCTTCTGCTGCYGCTCGTCTCTCCTTTTGTTTCCTCCTTCAGTGCGGATTAAAAGTCTCTGACGGAGCTGGAACTCCTCGCTCCTCCCCTTCTTGTTAAGAAGAGCAGATATCGAAGTCTTGTTTTCGTCAGGTGTGATAATGACAGGTGTGATAAGGTTGCTTTCAGTCTGAGCGAACAGGAAAAGCTGGTACGGCAGCCGTGTGACGCTCGATCTTGGTGATTGTCCAAAGTGTGCGAGGAGTCTTTAGCTCTTTCTCTCGTCTCACCCCGGCCTTCGTTCCTTCCTCTAAAGTCAGCTCATACCTGAGTCAGATGACCTCTCCGACACCTCGGCTCGACCTTTTCCTCGGTWTCAGAGGCTGAATCGTTTCGCTGACCCGTCCTTCAGCTGGGTGTCCAGAACCCGTGGGAGTTTGTCTCCCATATCAGCCTTTTTGTAATCATTCATGGAAGCAGGTGAATCAGTAACTGCAGAAGAATAAACGTGTTCGGCCCTGAAATCAAAGTTCACATGTCCGTCTTTCTTTTTCCTGTTTGAGTTGGTTGATGTGCCGCTTCGCTCTCACACTCGTTCTGTGTCCCACGGTTCAATGTGTGTTTTTTCTCTTTTCGACAGGAGTGATAAAAGTCTTAGTCATCAGTCAGCACTGCCATGAACTTCTTGACAGCTTTGATCAAGAAGAATGTTGGTTGATTACATTATTCTACAGCTTTTGTTTAAGGCTCATAAAAACATGCTACCTTTGAAAATACGGTTAAATTTTGTTGAAAGAGAAAGCTCTTATAATTTAAAGGGAAATGAAATATCTGTGAAGCACAGATTTTGAACAAATTTGAGGGAACGGTGTGCGTCGATACAGGGAGTGAAATTGTGGAATGATCTGGAGAGTGATGTTAGAAATGCTGGATCATTGTTTGTGTTTAAAAGAATGATTAAACTTGGTTTATTGAACAAATATAAATTAGAATAAGGAGTTTTTATGTAAGTTTTATTTGTTGTTGTTTCTGTTTTGTTGTGTTTTTGTAACCAGAAGATTATTAATATTTTTTCTTCTTTTTTTTTGTAAAAAGGGGCAGATATAAGATTTTTTTCTTCGTTCTGCTGCCTTTCATTTTATTTTGTGATATAAGTTTTGTATTTTTTGTAATGTAAACTTTTTTGTTTTAAATGAAATGAATAAATCAGATCAAATCAAATCAAAAAAGGTCACGATGTGCGTCTTTAAAGCAAATTTCAAATAGCTGAAAAGTCACTTTAAGATAAAATTAAATAAAAAACAATAGTGTACTACTAATGCATGAATGAAACTAACTTTGTTTAAGTCTTCATTGAGTGTAAAACAGCACAAAGTTTTGCAAAATTATGGCTTGTTTTTAATAGACATGAGAATCTTTCAAAATAAAAGTCAACATTCCCCTTGATCATCTGGGCTTCGGCTCCTATAGCCACATTAAAACCACCTGCTCTTATCATCGGTCATCAAAAGACACAAAAATGACTATAAATCAGCCAAAGGTACAGGTAACGAGCTAAAATTTGTCAAAAATCAAAGGGTCTTTGTTGAGGCACCGTCACACTATGTTTTAGACAACTTATGCCAACTTACGAAATGTTTGTCCAACATTAAAGATGTCGAGGCTAAAGATGGAATTAAAAAAATAATCTGCTGCCTCTTTTGCACCTCTACATACTGTAATGCAAACATTTAGATCAGGGTTGTCAAACTCATTTTCACGGAGGGTCACATGAGCGTTATGGTGGTCCTCGAAGGGCCAGTTGTAATAAACTTTGACGTTTCATGTTTAACTTTGACTGAACAGTGTTTTAACACGTCCTCTTTTAAACACTGATAAGAACTAAGTGTATGACTGACTAAATCTGTAATAAATACAGAAATATTATTAAAAATAAAACAAAAGGTTTTACTCACTGATGAGTTTCTAGTGAGTAGCTGCATTATGGCAGATTTAGTTTATGTTTGATGGTGACTTAAAAGCAGCTTATTTTCAGACATTAACACTGTGCTATCCAACTAAACTGCTCAGTTACTTCAAGCCAACAGCTCAGGGACAGGAATTTTATTTAATTTATTTTTATTAAATTAACTTTGTTGCATTTAACCATAAATTTAAAGTTTACCATTGAAATAAGAAACTAATTTCATGTTAAGTTTGAAAAAAAAATTTTTTTTGGAGGTGACACCCCCCCCCCCCTTTCGGCGGGCCACACGGGAGTCACCCCCACAGGCCTTGTGTTTGACACATGTGATTTAGATAGACATGGAGCTGAAATAGTCATAACAAAATTTTCCTAAGTCAGCACAAGTTGTCTAAAACATCATAGTGTGACGGGGCCTTCAGAAGTGCTGAAAGTCTGACACAAAAATCTAATGTTGGTGTTGGAAAAGGGTTGCACGCTCACGCAGAAAGGTGAAGAAATGTGGATTTACACCTTTAGACCTCCTCCTGTGTCCTCTGTGAAGTGTCTCCCTGTCAGTTTGTCCAAAAAAAGGCAGGTTAGATGAGCTTCCTGCTGTTTCCTGTTGAGGACCACGGCCATCAAAAATAAACCTAACCCTCTAAAACAAAGCCACAGGTTTATTATTTTTTTAAATTACTATTCATCGGTTTGAGCTGAAAATGTCCACGTCCCTCCAGGTTTATCCGTAACGTTCAAATGACCAAATGTCGGTTCTGTTCATCTGACGGTCTCTGGTTCCTCTCCTCAGCGGCGAGCGTTCGGGGCGACTTCGTGGAGCCCCAGGAACCCGTCACCTACCTCCGCTCCCCGACCGACTCCCCGACCCGCTTACCCTGTCAGTACAAGGTGGAGGGGGAGGCGCAGGTGGTGCAGGTCACCTGGAGCAAGGAGCTCCCTGATGGCACTGAGGAGATGATCATCCTGGCCCACTTCACGGAGGGGCAAAAGTGTACGTAATAATTGATTTTACTGATTCAAATAAATTAATTAAAATGTGCAATCGTTCAGGAAAACAAACAAACCATTTTACTCCCCTCTGTTCTGGTTTGAAGATTTCAACTTTAGGATTTACGAGGTTAAACTCATTAATATTTTGGGTTTAGATTAAGGCGATAATTAGAGGTAATTACCAGCTGTAGCAACACTTTAACTTTTCTTTGTTGCAGCTGTAAAAGCTCCAAAATTTCAGTCTAAATTAAGAACCTGAAGAATTATTGTTGTGTTTTTGTCAACAGGATACAGTGTTGGGTGGTTTTAAAAAGGGATCAGAAGAAGAATCTGTTTTTTTGTCGTGCATCTTTTATTTACAGCAAACATGTCGCAGACCCGCCCTTTAAAGACAAGTCTATCCATCTTCTTTTTTTTTTTAACCTCTTCTTCTTTCACTAATCTGTCAGAATGTTATTGTGTTTTGTGTTTAGTCTTTCCAAGGCCCGGAGCAGCTTGACTCAACCTGTTTTTTTTTTGTTTGTTTTTGTTTTTGTTTTTGTTTTCTTCAGCGTTTGGGCCTTACGCCAGCCGAGTAAAGTTCGAGAGCCTTGAGCCCACGAAGAACTCGGCTCTGATCATCATCAGCACGCAGGAGTCTGATGAAGGCAGCTACACCTGCAAAATCTCCACCTTCCCCGACGGAAACTTCGAGCGAGGCGTCGAGCTCACCGTCTGGAGTAAGTTTCACCTCGGAGCTGGTGGCTAGGCATTCTCTTCTAGGAGGTGAAAAGGTTAAAAACTGCTTTTAATGAAATTCCTTCCACTCGCATGAAAAAACTGCAAAACACTCGAGCTCTGGTCAAACTGTTAGAACACGATGTAGAAGTTCACAATTTGAAGTAAAAACCCCAAAAATCTTTGCTCTGCTGAATTACAAATCTGCAGCAAAGATATGTGAACAAAAAGCATTAAACTCCAGAATTGTTATTATTATTATTATTATTATTATAGTTTTATTTTTCCTTACAAAAAAGAGGCCTCCCTCAGAGTAGAGCCGCTGCTCCTCCACGTCGAGAGAAGCCAGTTGAGGTGGTTCTTCTGGTTAGGATGCCTCCTGGACGCCTCCCTGGTGAGGTGTTCTGGGCACGTCCCACTGGGAAGAGACCCAGATGAAGACCCAGGACACGGTGGAGGGACTATGTTTCTCAGCTGGTCTGGGAACTCCTTGGGATTCCCCCAGAGGAGCTGGTCCAAGTGGCTGGAGAGAGGGAGGTCTGGGTCTCTCTGCTTAGACTGCTGTCCCCGCGACCCGATCCCGGATAAGAGGAAGAAAATGAACGGACAAAAAAAATGCCGTAAAACAATTTAATTTGAGAGAAGCTGGTGTAAAATTAGCTATTTTGTTCAAACCTCGTAAAGGACGTAATCTCAGGTGTTATTTGGAAAACTCAAAATTCGTTCGGAGCATATTTTAGGGATGACTCTCAGCTACTATCCCATCAAATTTGAGCTCAGTATCTATAAAATCAACCGAGTTATGGCCTTTTATGTGTTGACTGAAGTGGACCGGCTTTGGCGGCCATCTTGGATTGAGCTAACCATAAATGCTAATTCGTTGTTGATGCACGTTCAGTGTTTCTGAGAGTTTCAATGAATTTTACCCAGTGGTTTGTGAGATATTTTACTAAAAGACTAATTTTAACAATTAAAAGCTACATTTTAGGTTGTTTAGTTGTTTAGAGTACATGTTGTGGATGATTTTAGTCTAATATCGTACTAAATCCTAGCCCGGTAAAATCATTTTCTTTCTTTTTTTATTGTAAGAGAATATTGGATTAAAAATCTAAAAAAATAATGTGTTTTTAAAGCCATCTGCGTTAAAAACTTCAGAAATGTTCAGTCTGCTCAAATTAGATGAGGAGACTCCAGTTTGTTGGATGATGGCCAATATATGTGCGTGTGTAATTACACCCACTTTAATTGTTTTTTTTCTTTTGTTAAAGAAAAGAAAAACGGAAACAGTTCAAACGGCTTTTCAATTAAAAAGCTTAAAATAAAAACACTTCAGGGTACCAAGAATGTCTTAACTTATTTACCTTTGGCAGGACCTTTGACACCAAACTGGAATTTGTTTTACAAATAAAACAAAATAAAATCTTTTCTAACACTTTTTTTCTGCCGAGTGCTCACCATCACTTGATAAACTTCTGCTTCCTGCGTGGATTAAACCGTAAAACAATCCCAGCCAGGGTGATTATTCGAGCTGTGGGAATGAAGATTTCTGGGTGGATCCTTTTTTTTTTTAAGAAGTAAATATTAAAACGACGTTATCGCTTCCAATCCACTTTTCTCATTTCGCTGCCAGWCATCGTCAACAACAAGCCTCCGGGGCTTGAACGTGTCCTGGCTCGCCTCGGATCAGGAGAAACGACAAAAACACACAGAGAGACGAGCAACCGACGACCTGCAGCTCCGAATTCCCTCAAAACGGTTCAGACCTTTGGTCACAAAATGCAGATTTGCTTGTAAAATATCCACAGAAACCGAACCAACCTGTTCCTGCAGGTTTTCATCTGAATCCACTGATTCTTCACATGAGCTGACATGAAACTGAACTGGTTGTCTCAGATCTTTGTGCATCAAGCCTGTCTGTCTGTTAGCAAAATATCTCATGAAGCAGTGCTATTCTCAGGAAGTAATCACCGGATGTGCGTCTACAACTGGTTAACTTTTGAAGCAGATCCGTGTAAAGATGGGCACCACGGCTAACTGACTTAGGCCAAAAGAAAAATGGCAATACACTGCAAAAAACAGAACGGTCAGGTGATATTGGGTTGAAAAAATGTATATATATCTCATGGCCACGAGATAAATAACATGTGGCCACAAAATAATTTTAAGCAGCGTGTACAGCCTGATAGACATTGTTGGAGTCCGATTTTGAATATGTTGTTTTGAACTGTTCAAAACTAGCCTACCATACACTTATTATTGCTGATATTACTATTAATATTATCATTATTGTTTATTATTATTATTATTATTATTATTATTATCATTTGGTGTATCTTAATATAAACGATTCATCTTTTATAAAAGCCTATTTATTAGATGACATTAAACACCCTAGGTGTGTATCGGGAAACTGATTTTTTTACTGTGTTCCTGAATGCAACTTAACTCCGCCTCCTTCTAGTTCAAAGGCACGGTGTGAGAGGGAAGCCTGTTCTGAGTGTTGAATAAATGTTATATAATTAAAGCTTTTTGAACAAAGACAACTCCAGTCGTCAACTGTGTCTTTTAGCTGCAGCAAATAATACTAAGCATTACTCAAGAAGGGGTCTTCAGTACATTGGGGGAGTTTCTTGTTTTGTGGGCGGAGTTTATCCTAACGGTGATTGGCGGAGGTTTTTTGTGTGGGCTGTTTGTCGTAAACGTAATTGGAATAATTCTTGATGTGGGCGGAGTTTGCCATAAATGTAATTGGAATAATTCTTGATGTGGGCGGAGTTTGTCGTAAATGTAATTGGAATAATTCTTGATGTGGGCGGAGTTTGTCATAAACGTAATTGGAATAATTCTTGATGTGGGCAGAGTTTGTCGTAAACTTAATTGGAATAATTATTGATGTGGGCGGAGTTTGTCGTAAATGTAATTGGAATAATTCTTGATGTGGGCGGAGTTTGCCGTAAACGTAATTGGAATAATTCTTGATGTGGGCAGAGTTTGCCGTAAACGTAATTGGAATAATTCTTGATGTGGGTGGAGTTTGTCGTAAACGTAATTGGAAAATTCTTGATGTGGGCGGAGTTTGTTCCAAATGTGATTGGTCGGACTGACTTGTCCTGTGGGGCAACTTGAAACTTCTGCTAAGTGACTGCAGAGATCCCTTTCACGAATTACTTCCTGCCTAACCAAAGTGACTGAAGTATGTCATTCATTCTTAAATTTAAATAAAATAAAATAAACATGTCCATGTAAACAATCAACAGTCTCAGCGTGGATAAATAATTATGTAGTGGCCACACGGTATTTCTTATAAGATAATTTTTTTAAAATCTAACATCACCAGACAAGCTCCGTAAGTTAGCCGTCCAAAAATGAGCTGAAAAATACAGGATTATCGTCTGAATCTTCTCAAATTAAGTGAAATAATCTTCCATCGCAGTAAGAATTCTGCTCTTGCTTATGTATCTGTCTCAAAACAAGATCAAAGATACTTTTTGGTTGGATAAAAGTTTTGTCAGTTTTTCAGAGATGTCGATTTAATTTGGTGTGGTGCTAGCTGGATACTCTGAGCACCAAACTATCTGTTAAGATCTTACATGAGATTGTGCAAAACCTTTATAATTTCATCTCTTCTCAGCTGATTTTAGTTTTAAACTCTGGCCTGAAAGCCGACAGGCTCCACCCGATTTCTTGAAGCAGTGATAGGTCTTTAAGTTTATTGTGAGTTTGAATAATTTCTCCTGAAATAAAGGGATTAATTTACTGTTTCTGTCGTTTAGAGGTTTTTATTCTGTTTTCATGTCAAAAAGTTGAGCGAAACCCTAAAGAAGTGTCTTAAATGAAGACTAAGTAAAAGCATTTATCAGCAGGTCTGTCTTGGGAGTTAAGCCTCATTCTGATGTCATTTGTTTTGGGGTTTCAGTTTATAATTGCTCAGTTGGAAGTTAATCCATAATAACTGTTGTTTTTTACCGATTCAAACTCCTCCGAGCAGATTTAAGCAGTCAGAGTTTCCGCCTCATGACAGCGGCGTGAATCACAGTCATGTTCAACCAGTCGGAGACGAACGGGGAAAAGAAAAACTAAAAACGTTTTGCTTGTAAAAAAAATCTCTCAGGTTTTATCTTGCAAACCTAAAGGTTTTAAAAAAAGAAACAAATGGCTTCAGTGTTGGGTTTCTGCTGGTGAAACTAAATGAAATTTAACACTAAACCTCACAGAAACCACCTGGTTGTGATCGGTCCGGCTACAAACCCGTTTGTGGAAAATATTAGTGGAATGCACAGAAAAGAAAAAATCAAACATGTTGTTTTATTGCAACATGCAACAAGAAAGTGGACTGTGAATCACCCTGAACCTTTTTTTTTTAAATCTGTCATTTGTTAAAGCTCCAAAAATTTTGAGTAGATAGCAGAGCCTGATTCCAGCCAGACCAGTTTTTACAGAACCGGGCTCCAGAATGTGGTTCGGACTGGTTCGTGCTGAGATTTATTTGTGAAAGTTAAAACATGTTCCTGTAAAGTTTACATGATCTAGATCTGAAAGTTTTCCTTTTCAGTTCAGCTCCATCTTAGACCGACCTCCTCTGTCTTCCCAGCTCTACCCATCTCCTCCGTGGACCCCCTCGTGGTGGTGGAGGGTCAGCTGTACGGCGTGGTGGCGACCTGTCGGGCCGTGGGGCGCCCGCTCCCTGAGCTGTCCTGGGACACCGACCTGCGCGGCACGTCCCAGCGCCGGGTCAGCGAAGGAGGCGCCGTGTCCATCCACTACTCCCTGCGCCCGGAGCGCTGGATGAACGGGAGGAAGCTGGACTGCCTGGTGGCGCACCCGGGTCTGGAGCAGCCACGCAGGATCTCCAACAACCTGGTGGTCTTATGTGAGTACAGACCACCGTGTTTCAGGATCAGTTTTCTTTTTTACACTCAAGCCTTGATGTGTTCATCACAACATTTTCAGACAACACAACACAACACAACACAACATACCAACTTTATTTGTAAAGCAATTTAAACACAGACAGGACCAAAGTGCTGCACACTGTCATAAAATACACTACAATCATAAAATACACTACAATCATAAAATACACTATAATCATAAAATAGAAAAATAAAAGTAGTAATCAAATAAAAACAAAAATCACAAACATCATTTTAGAAAACAAAAACAAGAAAATACATGTTTTATGTTGCAACTTTACGTCCTGATTATAGATTATTTACTGTATTTACGTACTTTACGTATTAAGTAAGATCTTGTATACTATGTTATGTACGGTATACAAAGAATATTCTGGATCTTCCTGAAAAATCTACAAAGAAAATTGGTAACACTTTATAATAACTAGTGTTGTGGTCAAGACCACCTAACCCGAGACCAAGTCAAGACCAAGACCACAGTGTCTCGAGACTGAGACAAGAC